AAATGAGATTGAGAAGCTGGAAAGCCGCAATGCGGCACTGGCAACTGACCTTACCGAAATCCAGCAAAGGATGGACGAAAGGCACCAAGGACAAGAAGCTGGTTCTCAGACCACCGGGACTGGCCGCTTGCCTAATGAGTCGCGCCGGGACTATCTCATTCGAACGGGAAAGATTACGCCATTTTCCAACATGAGCTCGGGGCCAAACCATGGTCCTCTTGCCAGTCTTCAGGATGCCTTGATCGATGCAGAGGACGAACGTGATGAAAGGGAAGCATTGGAGCAGGTGAAAAACCGGTCAGCTGTTTCACATCGTAACCTCATACGACCTGGGTTCGGGTTCGACGAGACTCCCGAATCCAGCATAGTGGATGAAGCGCCTACCTCTCGAGCAAGTAAGCGCCGAAAGATAGACCGCGAGTCTTATGATGACGAACAAGAAGCTCGTGAACAAGACACCAAGGTATCCTTCGAAGATAATTTCGAGGATCAGGATGAATCTGCTAGCTATGTTGATTCTGAAAGGCAGTCGTCTGTATCGGAAGATGAAGAAGAATTCCTACCTGAAGAGAGGCCAAAACGTACGGCAAAGCCGGTAAAGGCTCCAAAGTCTTCAGGTGATGTTGAAGATTTCAGCGGGATGGATGATGGAAATGAACAGCTCTATCAAGCTAGGCTTCAATATTGGGTCAGTCGAAGGGCTGCTGCTAGGAAAAGAGCGCTTGAAGCTCGTGCTGCAAGCCATAGACCCGAAGAAGTTGCCGCTGGAGACACTGTGGATGTAATGGATCAAGATGAACAGGAAGAATGGTTCATGCCTCATCCGACAGTTGCAGATATGCCTTATGACAATGGCTACCGAATACCCGGTGATATACATCCCCTTTTGTTTGACTATCAGAAGACCGGAGTACAGTGGTTATGGGAGTTACAACAACAGCAAGTAGGTGGCATCATCGGCGATGAGATGGGTCTTGGCAAGACTATCCAAGTCATATCTTTCCTTGCTGGTCTCCATTACAGCAAAAAGTTGACGAAGCCGGTCATTGTCGTATGTCCCGCCACGGTCATGAAGCAGTGGGTGAATGAGTTCCACCGTTGGTGGCCTCCTTTTCGTGTATCCATCCTGCACACGTCCGGTAGTGGAATGGTCAACATCCGGAATGAGAGCAGCAGAGAAGATGCTCTTCTGTCTCAGTCGTGGAACGCCTCGGGTTCCCGTGGCATGCCCAGTGGCTCGAAGGCAGCGAGGAAGGTCGTCAAGCGTGTAGTGGAAGAAGGGCATGTACTGGTCACTACTTACTCGGGCCTACAGACCTATGCGTCTCTCGTAATCCCGATTGAATGGGGCTGCGCTGTTCTGGATGAAGGGCACAAGATTCGGAATCCGAACACTTCCATTACTATTCACTGCAAGGAACTTCGAACACCCCATCGCATTATCCTATCAGGTACCCCGATGCAGAACAATCTTACAGAGCTCTGGTCTTTGTTCGATTTTGTCTTTCCAATGCGTCTGGGGACTCTGGTGAACTTCCGGAATCAATTCGAGTTCCCCATCCGTCAGGGTGGGTACGCGAATGCCTCCAATCTGCAAGTCCAGACGGCTGCCAAATGTGCCGAGACCCTCAAGGATGCTATTAGTCCATACCTTTTGCAGCGGTTCAAGATTGATGTTGCGGCGGATCTGCCCAAGAAGAGTGAGCAAGTGCTGTTCTGCAAGTTGACAAAGCCTCAGCGACAAGCATATGAGGCGTTCCTGGGTTCCGAGGAGATGAAATCCATCCTCAACGGGCGTCGGCAAGTTTTATTCGGTGTCGATATATTACGAAAGATCTGCAACCATCCCGATCTACAAAACCACAAGCTGATGTCTTCAACGGCAGGCTATGGTGGTGGATCAAAGTCCGGCAAAATGCAGGTCGTCAAGTCGCTGCTGGAGCTATGGAAGGATACTGGGCATAAGACTTTGCTGTTCACACAGCATCGAATCATGCTCGATATTCTGGAGAAGTTCGTGAACTCACTGTCCGGATTTAACTACCGTCGAATGGATGGCACTACACCCATCCAGCACCGGCAAGCTATGGTGGACGACTTCAACAATGACCCAAGCCTACATGTTTTCCTACTTACCACAAAGGTTGGTGGGTTGGGTGTGAATTTGACGGGTGCTGATCGGGTTATTATATACGACCCCGATTGGAACCCCTCGACCGATGTGCAGGCGCGGGAGCGGGCCTGGAGACTAGGACAAAAGCGCGACGTCACCGTCTACCGGCTTATGACAGCAGGCACTATTGAAGAGAAGATCTACCATCGTCAGATCTTCAAGCAATTTCTTACGAATAAAATTCTCCGAGATCCCAAGCAACGCCAGACTTTCCAGCTGAGCGATCTCCATGATCTCTTCTCCCTAGGAGACGAAGGGCAAGGTCCCACCGAAACCAGTAAGATCTTCAAAGATGCGGACGTCACATATGAAGACAGTGATGGCGCCTTGCGCAAGTCCAACGCGGCGACCAAATCACCTGCTGCCTCACATAGCGCGCAGGAAGAGAAGAAAGACATCAGCAAGGTTGTTGGCGTGGCCGCAGTCGAACAATTCCAAGGAGAACCGGAGCAACAGAGCGAGCAGGAGAAGGGCACTCCCGGTGCCAACTCGGAGTCCCGCATCATGGAGGGCATCTTTGCCCGATCCGGGGTCCATTCAGCGCTGGAGCACGACCAAATCGTGAACGGCAAGCGCGTGGTGCGAGCGGACCCCAAGATAATCGAGGCGGAAGCGAAGCGGGTGGCAGCAGAAGCAGCAGAGGAGCTGCGGCGAGCGGGCGAGGCAGCGCGGTCTGTGCCAATTGGCACTCCAACCTGGACGGGCCAATTTGGCCTGGCTGGGAAACCCGAAGAACAGCTCCCCAGCCGACCTGCATTTGGAGGGAGCAGTAGCGCCGCCAGACGAGCAGTAGCCGGTCCATCCTCAGCCAGCATCCTGGCGAATCTCTCTGCGCGCACACCGTCCCCGCGCAGCGGCAGCAACAGTCCCGCGCCATCGCGCACCCCCAGCGGAATCGATTTCATCACGATGATTCGAGACTTCATCACAGCCCAGGGCGGGTCAGTGTATACCCAAATGTTGATCGATCATTTCAACCGCTACTGCACCACACCGCAACGGTCGGCCGAGTTCAAGGAGATGTTGAAGACAATAGCCGTGCTGGACAAGGGGGGACGAAACGGGCGCGGGAAATGGGCCTTGAAACCAGAATATGCCAAGCGACGATGATTGCCACATAATGGCATATTGTATACTAGATATGAGATCACATTAGGCGTTGGGCAACCATGGATGGTTAGATTAATTGCGTTTTGGAAGGGTCGATACCTATATACCATGCTACTATACAGTTATGTATCAGGGATATCCATGTCCCGAAGGGCTGAAAAGTTGAAAGTTGAAACAAACTATCCGCCGATCCAATGCCCCTTTGTGTAATTCTACTCATCTATAGATAGTAATTATCATCATTATTGTACAACACAATGCACTGATCATCAAAAGCCCAAGTAAACGACGTAACCGTAATCTCTATGACGTACAACCATTGTAGACAGACTGATTATTGAGTTCTTTTTCAGCTACAGTAAGTAGTCTAAACGACGTTTCCTACACGACCAAAGAAGGAACTTATGCGGATACTATTACCCCGCGGGAAAAGAACGTGATAAACGAACTGGTTCCGTGGATAGCGATCGTCCTTTTCTTTCAAGCCCCAGTGTTTGCTTTGTGGGTGGGGTGTGGGTGTGGGTTTTGTGTCATGAAAGACAATAGTGTGAACCAGAGAAGGGGAGGGAATGGAACGGGGAGGAAATCATGATGTCAGTTGCATTGAAAAGTACGGCGGGCCCCATTCTATGGGGAAATATGGATATGACTTTTCTGGGCTTGAGGATGGCATAGCCACGGTGTAGTAGTACGGAGTAGGGTTGGTAAGGGTGCAGGTACGAAAGTCTAGACAGTTACTAGTTACTACTTACTAGGACGCTGTAAGTAAGAAAGTCTGAGTGAGTGAGTTGTTTCAAGACCAATCGGAGTGGTGGTGTGATCGGGAAGTCAAAGTCCACTTTTTTTCTGCAGGTTAAAATTTATTATCCAGTTACGTGATGTGATGATGGTCGTGATCGGCTTCAGGGGGAAGTGATTAATTCCCTAATTGATACTCCATATACGACGTACCATTGTAGATGGTTCTTATTGTATGATGTCAACAATTTCATTGTCTACTATTGTGGAAAGACAAGACGATCCAATCCGCGAGGCATATGACGACAGAATGGATGCATGGATGAATGGATAACGGTAGAAACCCGAGCCGAGGGAGGAGAAAATCTGAGACAAAAAAGTCAATCATCTGACCGGGCAGGGATCGGTCGGGCATCGGGCATGGAGGAGAAGGTCAGTGAAAATCCGATCAGCCGATAGATTAAGATCGACTGCTTACAAGTTTTGAGTAGGATTAGATTAGTAGTAATTTTGTTGGTGGGTAAAATAAAAATAGAAAGATGGTTAGTAAGTTAGTTAGTCTGTCTCATGTCAGATCAGCACTGTTGGGATTTGCTGTTAACTTGACATAGTAGTATGGAGGTAAAGGGAATAATAGTATCCCCATCTCTCTATCTCTACTATTGTAGACTGAGTATGTGAAGTGTACTACTTAGTGCTGTGTATGCGGGGATAACTCCAGTCTCCTCCCGCCATCCTCGTTCATTCCGCGCCTGTCCAATCAAGCCGTTCTGTTGAATTCGCCGCCCAACCCTGATTGGCCCGGCTCAAGACCCTCCACCAGCACAGCCAAGAACTGGATCAGCCAATCGGACTGTGACAACCAGGGCGGCCAGTCCGAAAGTGCAGTGGAGCAGAGGATTTGCCTCCAGTTGTTCCTGCCTCTTTGCCTGCCTCTCATTCTGCCAACTCAAAAGTATTCCTCAGCTTGAGGGAAATCAAGCTCCAACCACCAACCACCAACCGCCCCCTCCACCTGTCGGCATTCGCCCAAGTTTCTATTCTCAGATTCGCGCAAAGTTTTCCCTAGTCTAGTTGGTAGTCTGTCCTGCCCCTGCACTATCCTTGGATCCTCCTCCACTCGTTCCAACTTTCCCGTAAACTGTAGGCATTTCGGCGCCGGTGCACCCGTGTCCACTCCCCAACTGCGGCTGTGGGGAAGAATCGTGGTGGCTGTCCGATATAAAGACGCTGGCCATCCCCCTCCATTTCAGCCTTCATCTATCACGCACCATCCTCCTCCCTTTCTCCCACATCCACTGTTCTATTTCAGGATCGAACCACGAGCCATATTCTTTCTATTTTAATTTTCCAACTTCTTCATCCACCTCTCTCCCACACCATCCACAATGAAGTTCCTTGCCTCTCTTGCCCTGTTGGCGTCTACTGTGGCTGCTGGCCCAGTGCTGTACCCCCGCCAGTCCAGCAACTCCACCCAATCCTTCTACCTCAAGACCTCGGGCGCTACCAATGACGACCACAACAACCTCTACGTTTATGCCTACCACACCGGTGCGGGCTTTAACGATGCCGTGCTCACCTCGGACGTCGGAACGGCCAGCCCGGCCTTCCTGAACGGCACCCACACCCAGTTCGACCTGGGCACCTCTTTCCCCTGGGGATTCAAGATGGGCGTCCAGAACAACTATGCAGGTTAGACTTCTTGTCCCTTTCCCTTATCCATGTTTTGTTTTCTCTTGCCACATGGAAGTTTCAGAAAGAAAATTAACTTTTCTGGCAGCATGGGAGTCCGTTCAGATCAATGTTGGATACGGCGATGATGACTTCTCCATTGGTTCTACCGGTTTGGAGTGGTCGGCACAGGATGGCTTTGGAGGCTGGCTAGGTGAGTGACTTCGAACATATAACCATACAAACTGTCAGGACGTGCCACTAACTGCGGCTATGTAGTGTGCGACTGGTACCACAACGCACCCCAGCTCTTCTACATTTACCGCTATGAGGAGCCCACTATTCCGTCCTCCTGCAGTACTGTCGACCTGACGCCCGAATACCCTTCCTAGAGACACGACGTCTAGACCTCGCCACAGGGCCTTAACAGGGGCTCTATGACGAGTGTGGCGTGACTGATGAATCATGAGACCGAAGGACCTGGGAGGATATGCGCCTCTCCCAGCCCGAAAGAGAATGCACACTGTAACAATACGCCTGTTAAATGATCGACCCTTACTAATGTTAATATACTTAATGATGAGTGAGAATGAGTTTTGATGATTGGGAGGAAGGTGATCTACCTATACGCGAAGCGTGGCATGTTGCATAGTCAGGAATATCTGGTTTAGATAATCTCACGTAAATATATGCATTTATACTATCTACTATCTCTCTCTAATCTCCCTGATTGACAGGAGTGATAGCTGCAAACCCACAGTAAAAGTAAACTAGATTGATGTGCTTCTCATCCGCTCTTCGCTTATCGTAGTGGCCAATAATTGGCAATAGTGGCTGCCGGGATCCGGTTAGTGTCGCAGCTTTGCGGGGACACCAAAGACTGATTTCTACAACAAACCATGACTATGACTGACTGTATGGGGCATGAAGTTGCACCTAGAAAATGAGACCAGATGAATAGCCGATATAGTCCTAGAAGGGCAGACACGGGATGATTCTTTCGCCAGAACTTTATACCTGCGACGAGGGAGGCAAAGGGACCATTCTAGGTGAAACAAAGTTGCTGGTCAGGGCATAAATCTTGATCCCCGACCGGGTCAGATGCAGTGGATGCCTCAGGCGTACCGCCAAAAATAGCCGGGTGTCTCACTCCCTGGCCCAATCGGGCAAGGCGCGCCTTGAATGGCTGCTCGTCTGGTCTTTTAGTCTCTCGCCCTCGTCTTTCTTTCTTCCCCCCTCGGGTCGGACAATGCTTCGCTCGTCTGTCGTTTGTCTCTTCTGACCTTCGCTATCGCTTTATCGGTCGTATCTTTTCATCTATCTGCCACCCCAGGTTCGCTGGAATCAGATCGGTCTCTGTCGCTCGCTTTGTTTACATCTCTCTTACCCCCCGACCCTCGTTGGACCCTGCCGAGAATCTATCGGACGATCTGCATGTTTCAGTCCCGCTGGCCTGAAAAAACACCTCCTCTGCAGCCCGTATCGCTTCATCTCTGGATTTGATCATCGCTTATCGTGCTCGACGGTTCATCTTCGACATCCTGGTATAGCTTCAACTGTTGCTCGTCAGTTCATCGCAGTTACAAATACCCCTGTCGCTTCTGCCGCCGTATACGGGAAAGGGTCCACGTCGATCGGACCCTGAATTTTGCCAAGGGAGTCAACCGACCCCTCTGCCTTTTATCAACACAACACCACAACACCACAATCGGACTTTTCAAGATGCGTTCCATGTCTCGTCTGTTTGTTCTGTGCCTCCTCTTGGTGCTGGGGACGGTAACTTCCGCCTGGCCATGGCCGCCGCATGGCGAATTGTTGCGACGAGCTGGTCAGTCCTATCTTATGACATTTACATCCCTTCACCTTTATCCTAGTGTCATCGTGGTTCGTGTATGATGTGTTGCTGACCCGCGAAGATACTACCGCAGCTGAGAGCGCAACCACTGGAGCCGCCGCTACCACCGAGAGTGCATCGAAGACCGAGGCAGCGACCAAGACCGCCGCCGCGACAGGAACCGACACCACGGCCACGGCTACCGGCACCAATACCAAGTCAGCTACCGGGACAGGCACTGCTAGCGGCAAGTCCTCTGGCTCTTCTTCGAACAGCACAACGAGTGTTTCTATCAACCCCGCTGCCGGTGCCGGTGGTATCTCCATGCTCATTCCCACCGAGGGTGCCACAACCTACTATAAGATCGGCGATTATGTGACATTGAAATGGAACTACACCTCTTTGACCATCAGCCCAACGGCTGTCAACGTTGTCGCTTCGTGCAGTTTGAACAGCGCCACCTACACCATCTCGTCCAACATGACCATGTCGCCCACCGGAGAGGTGGTCTGGGACACCAAGAAGTACCAGGCCAACGCGACTGTCCCGCTGTTGACGGCGTCGTACACGTTGATTGTGTGGGATGCCAGCAAGGCCATCACTGAGACGGCCAGTGCCGGTTATCTTAGCGCTGCTAGCAGCTACATCTTCGGAATGTACAGCTCCCAGCCGTACACTCCGCTCAATGGTATGTGATCCCCTCTGTATATCGTAATCAGTCTGCTAACTTCAACAGGATTTGTCTGCGCTACCTGCAGCGGGGCTTTCTCCGAACTCGAACGCTTAGGGATGAAATTCACCTTTGGCATGTTCGCCATCACCGTCCTGTCCTTCTCCTGGTTTGCCGGTGGCTTCGGTCTCTTCTCCACATGAGTGTAATCTCCGGATGACGACGAAAATAAACATTTTTATGCATTAGAATGTTGCATTGAGCAAAGCGAATTTCGTTTAAAGTTATGATGATAGCAATCTATCAGCTGGGTTGGATTGGCGTTTGCGAGTTTCCATTTCTGATTTGACTAATGGCTGGGAAGATCCTCTATATTATTGACCTTAGTTCACTCCTTTGAAGCGCAGCAATAGCGGGATATCAGTGTAATAGTGTGCATGCGGTGATTATGACATGTGATTGTATCTCCACTTGGCCTGTCTATATTTAATGTTCTCTGCAATTATGGCATGGATGTATGTATACATACTCATCTGGACTGTATCGGAAACTTCCTCGGATTAATATATACCTACTACAGCAGTGGACTAGACCTAGCAAATACATACACTGCAACCCTACTGAAAGATAATGTGGTACTAGAACTCTCTATATACTTCCAATCCACGGCACTGAGCCTCCATATATTACTAACCGCTGGAACATTCCACACTCATCATACTTCCACCACAGCCCAACCAACCAACCAACCAACCAACATGACATCCCACTTTGATGCCTTAACACGAAGAAGAAAATAATCCGAAAAGATACTCACCATCACAAATAATCATGTAAAGGAATATCCCGTAACCGTACCCACATAAACGGAGTATCTCATCTATGCCCATTACTAGTAGCAAGATCATAACATTATCCGTCCCCGGAACTACTACACGACGAAGTCAATTTTGTAAGGATGGTATGACGTTCTTTTTTTTACCAGGCTCCAAAAAATTAATACTAATTACTACTAAGTAGGTATGTTCATGATGTCGACTAGGAGGATGATTGTGAGATATATATATATATATATATATGATATATACATATGTATGGAGTAACCCGATATCCAAGCCTAAATTCTGAGTACTTTATATGATAGTACTAGTACTTAGTAATATCCTATCTACTTACGCATGTATCTCTGGTGCGTACAGTCTGTATGTATCGCCCAACTAAGTTGAAAGATTCGAAAGATTGATTAATCAATGGGTATGATAAGATATGTTACGGATCTCCCCGTTTGCTCATCGTCAGCTAGTTAACTAGTTAATACTTATTTAGATATGTCAGCGGCGGTAACACCAACAGGATTTAGTAAGTACTACGCTACTATTCTTGAGGTTGGTATACAGTTACACCCATCAATTGCACTCAGTTGATGTCTCACAAAGAAGGTTCCACAAGTGCAGAATACGAGATGCATGCAGGGACAATTGCTCAGAAATATAGGAAATAACCTCATTAATACACGAGTGAAATTCAGGTACTTGGCATCAGGTAGATGGATCTGCGTGGACTGCTGCAACATAAATAGGATCGATTCTTCCTCGTTTTTGATGTCGATTTCTCGTTATTGATGAATACCTCTATCTATCAATATATGTCAGAGTCTCTCACATTTGATATTGTCTTTGACTAGACTCAGTCCTCTCTTGCTAGTTACTCGAGTGCCACCATTCCCATCGACCATTTTAGAGTCCAGTCATAAAGCAATCAAAATGTCAAGTTTCTGGAACCCCAACTACAACGCTACCAGCAGTCACAGGAAGAGAAGGCCGAGGAACAAAGGCAAACAGCGAGAGGAAAACACAGCAATACCATTCTTTGGCTCGTCGTCACCAGCATCACGACGGCAGCGACCGTCATCATCGTCATCGTCATCGTCATCCTCTAGATATGAGGAAGAAGACCTAGTCCTGGTCAGACGCAAGGACAGTCCACCGTGGTGGTGGCTGTTGTTGGTGGAAGGGACCTCAGGGATTACGGTCATGAAAGCTGCCAAGGACGAGCACGGCTCTCGTCGTCGTCCCGGCCGTAGAGTTCTCGAGCCACTTGTTGAGGGGAAAGTGGCCAGTTTTTTCCCGGCAAGGTTGGATGTGGAGGAGTAGGTGTGATGCCAATGCACCTCTGTTTTTCTTTGTGTTGAATGTTCCGAGGAACGTGCACTGATTATACCCGCGATATGCCACCGATGCGGGTTATTAGTCTGGGGTCGACTGTCTGATATATAGTATATGAGATGTTGAGGCGTTTTGCGATTGTTGGAATGGAACATTCCATCGATAGTATATTTCTGTGATGTTTCCTTTGTTACCCCTTCACTCGGTGCAGCCTTGATGATAGGCTTCCCAGGTTTGACTCCCCTGTTCTTGGGGAGTAGAGGATGGTTTGCGAATGGTAGGAAGGGTTGCAGTGCTGTCGGTCATCTTGGCGCATTTTGCGCAGGGTGTCTGTTTGATAGTCGAGTAGGACGATATCATGTCCTAACATGAAAAGTCAGTGTTTTGTCCACACAAACCAGATTCAACCAGCGTAGAAAGTAGAGTCAGTCTTACAAGTAAATAGAGCAAATCCCACTGTCGAGGCCTCGCATTCAAACACTGCGCCACTGCCGTCTCGACCTTCGAAGGCGTCTGTCCCCCCGGCGTCCTAGTAAAGACCCGCCAATCAGGAACCCCATTCCCATCCTGACCAGCAATAGCCTCGACCCTGAACACTATTCCAGCCTTGACAAGCACAACAGTAACAGCCGCTTCAGTCTGACTAGCCAAGACCCGCACACCAGGCACATTCTTCTGAGCAAAGCCCTCAACAATCGCTCTCCATCCACCCTCAGTAGACTGGATCTTCGATCGCTCCATCTCCTCATTAGCTTTCTGCTGCTGCTCATTCTGAGTCTGCTCCTCCTCACGGAGATCCGCGAGAATGGTATCGTAATCTCGTTCCCATTTCCCTGTGGGCTGCAGCATCACGCCGCCGTTTTCTTTAATCTGCGCGTCGACACGATCCCAGACGGCTTTCATCTCGGGACTTCTCCACATCGACTGAAACTCTTGCAGCTCGGAGACACCCGCGCGCGCAGCTTGAGCGAGCTGCTCGTACAGCATTTGCGGTGACTTGGGGACGGATCTTCCCGCAGCGGCCTTGGGGTTGACAATGGGTGCCAGGGGTTCCAGAAGGCGCTCGGGAAGCAGTGTCCGTAGTTGGTGGATCTGTCAGAAGTGTTAATTGGTGTTGAGCTTGACTGGAAGGAGTGATACTCACCATTGCTTCCATCTTCTGAAGCTTCGCGAGCGAGGAAACAAGCTGCGTTTCAGAGTCCCAGGCATCAGGACTGGGGTCAGTGTTACTAGCCGCCCCTGTAGAGGCTTCAGCGCCATTCGAGGGAGGGACCATTGCAGGCACAACCACTGGCATTCTAGGGAGTGTTTGACCGGGGTTGGGAGCAGATGCCATTGTCACTGGCAGTGAGGATAGGTTGGCGATAGTGATTTATAGTAAAGCTAGATTTGAGAATCCAGCGCAATTTATAAGGTGAAGGGAAGTTCCAGCAATCGTCAGCTGATAGGCCAGCACGTGTATCCAGTCCAAGTAAGTAATTGACAAGCTGGACTATGAATGCGCGTATGAGTAAGAGTGAAGTACGTCTCTTTATGAGTCGTGGATTTGATCAAGTTATAAGGATCTCAAAATTCAAGAGTCCACTTGACACAGCAGATATGGAACTGGAGACAACGTCAACAATGGCGATAGGTTGAATCTCGGTGGAGGGAATTGCGCCGCCGAAATTAGCTGACTCAGCACGCATACTTACCAGCCACATACTACATAGCCACAGATTGCTGTGGCTGGAATTAATGCGCGTACGCCGTTAGGAAAAAGCAAGAATATTTTGCGTAAGTATACTACAGCTTTCACCGAACTAGCCCGGCTAGCTCAATCGGTAGAGCGTGAGACTCTTAATCTCAAGGCTGCGGGTTCGAGCCCCGCGTTGGGCTTTCATTTTTGCTTTTTCCACCGTTGTGGTTGGTGGTGGTGGTGGTGGTGAGTGAAATGGTAAGAAAGATGGGTGGATCTTTGGGGGAGGATTCTATTCGGTAGGTAGCCACGGGTTTAAATCCCGCTATAATCATAATTTTATCCATTGCAAGAAGTCGTCGTTCCTTTCTGACTAGTACTTACCAATGTGTGTACTAGCCAATGTATTGTATCTTGTGTTGTTACGATTATTTCAATTTATAGAACAAGACTACTATGAGGTGAGGATTGGTAAGTTGATCATAGCATATGATTATAACTGCTATATTTTGACGACCTAGGATACTCAAGTATATGGAAGATATAGTTTTATGTATCAACGTTGCTTTGCTGTCTCCGCCACAGTACCACCTACCTACTGGAAATAGCACTTCAAGATGTATGTAGTGTAAAATCTTATCATATTAAATTATCCAGGCTAGTATATGTAGTCATTTCTGGGAATGTCCCGGGGCATGAAAAGTGTAGCTCATCATAATGCAAAGAAGTCGTAGCCATCCGGCGGCTTGAACAATCAGTGGTGTAATCAACATCCCACCAGTACTGGCAAATCACGAAGAAAACAACCGAATATGGACACCACGGTCATGCGACAGCGTGAGACTGGAATTGATGATCGGCTCCACCATATCAGGGTCGGCATTCTCAATTCTGTTATACCGCTGTAGCAGCTTGACCATGGTGTAGCTGGCTTCAGTGAGTGCGTATTGCTCTGGAAGAGACTGTTAGTAATGTGACTGTGGCATATATGTAGGGCAACTTACGTCCAAGACAGATGCGTGGACCCCCGTTGAATGGAAGATATTCCCAACCCCGCTTGCTGTTCTCTTCCCAACGCTCGGGTCGGAAAGCATGGGCATCCGGGCCGTATAAGTCGGTGCGACGGTGCATTGCATATACGCTGTACGACACAAGCTCTCCCTTGCGGATGTAGACCGGGGCCTTCCCGTCGGGCCCACCACCCGATGGCAAGGAAGTATCTTTGGCGGCGACACGGAAGTTTAGAGGCACTGGAGGAAGGAGACGGAGGACTGGTCTTGTTAGAAGATATTTGGGAGTGAGGCAGGGTTGGGGGTATTGCTCACCTTCGTTCAAGAAATAGCGCAAGTACGGTGTATCCTTCAGTCTAGCATGCGTGATCTTTCCGTTGGGGTGTTTAGCGTCTCCAAACTCGTCGACGATGGTCTGGCGAAGTTTGGTCCAGACATTAGGATGACGTGCTAGGTAGAAAAAGGCCGAGCTGAGCAGACTGGCAGTGGTGTCGCGGCCAGCCAGGAGGATGTTGAGCATGTTGTCACGGATCACTCTCGGGTCATCAGTATCCTCCGCCAAGGCCTCTGCGAAGATGTACCTGCCCGACTCTTTCTTTTCGGGGTGACGCTTTGCCTCGAGAGCCAAGCGCACATAGTGGTCAACCACCTCGTGCACAAGCTGGTTCGCTTCACGGAACTCCTTGGGGTTAACGAGCCAGTAGAATGCCATGGCTCTGGATCTCGCTGCCAGGTATTCTTGGGCCCGGTTGAACGCCTCAGCAAACCCTTGGGCGTTTCCAACGGCGGACTTCTCTAGTAGACTCGACTCTGCGGATGTGCGCATGGATCCGACGGATTCACCAAACAGGAAATGTGTAGCCGAGTCGATGGTCAAGAGGAAGAAGAGGCGCTGGATGTCGAAACTAGAGCCATCCTTTGGGATCAAGTCCATCATTTTGGTGACGTGACCATCCATAAGGTCGAGATCAGCAACCTAGACGCTCTCATTCGTCAGTACGTTCTCATTGATGGTAGATTAGTAGGATTATCAGACCTGATCGCGGGTGAACTGCGGCCTCAGCATGCCACGCGCATGAGACCAGCCCGGCCCATCCAAGGTGAAGATACCATTTCCAAGCAACGGGTAGAACTCGCGATGCCGGGTTCCGAGACCAAAATCCTGGAACTGAGTAGCCAACAGTGCCTTGATGTTCTCTGGCTCGACGGTGTTGGTGACCATGAGTCCTCCCAAGGCCTGCTGACGGAAGGTCGGACCACTCGTCTGGTAGTGATCGGCAATGTATTCAACCCATCGTTTCTCCCTAGCCGCCTTTGCAATGCGATAGAAGCCAGTGATACCGAGGATACCGGTATCGACGGATCTAGGGGGCTGGCAGCCTAGAGCTTTGGACTTCTTGCGATGGTGGTAAGCCTGATGGAGGGAGCCCAGGATGCGAAAGGTTAAGTAGATGGCACCCAGAAAGACAATCGCAGGAGCCAACATGACGCAACTGCGGGTAGTCTAATAGTGCGGGGATGAAATCTAGATAGTAGATTGAGAAGAGGAAAGGGGTGATTTGAGGAATGTGAGATGAGAGATAAATAACTTTAGAGTGAATGTTATGTACAAAGAGGTATGATAATCGACAGGGGCAGTCCGGTTCCGACCACAGACCCTTATATACTTTGTCCTAGTTCACCCCGCAAGGAGAGTATTAGACCAAGATTCACTTGGCGAAGAAGGGTTGGTTCCAAACTCCTCGGTCGTGAGGCCCCATGTGAAATGAAGGAATGGGGAATCCCCGCCTCCATAGCCACACAGTCAGTCAGTAGGCGAGGAAAGGGAGAACGGGAAGGGATGGATGGTTCCAGCGATGCAACAAAGTCAGAAGCGGCAATGGGCTGGAACTGATTGGAAAAGCCAACCTTGCGAGGGGTCATTTCCGATTCCAGATGCTTTCGGCACTCGGAAACATCGCAAGCATCTCCCAAAAGGGAAAAGCGGCGGTTGCGTCGCAGGATTTTGGACATGACGCTAATTCCAACCGCTGATCTAAAACCTCCGAGGCTTCTCTTGCATCGACTTATGTTTGCTCGCGTGTACTTTTTTTTTAAAGTACTATGTAGCATCTCGGGATCCACCCCACGGTCAACCTCGTCATCTCTTCTTTATCCAGGCTTCAGGCTCTAGGCTCCAGCAAATCCGAACACCCTCCCCCCCTAGCCCTCAAATCACCTGGTTTGACTGGAATTCTGGCCAAAACATTCAAGCCATTGCAACAAGGCGGATGTGAAGATGCCGCGTGACAATTTCCCCACGGTCGGCGTGGCCTGAAAGTCAAAGCAATGTTCCGAGTCCTTCATGACGTATCCAAAGACCGTGTCTTCGTTGGTCTGCACCCCGCATGCTGGGATCGCGCTCGTAAACTCCACCCCCTGAGGTGCGATATCGTCCGTAGACAGAATGGATAATGACCGCCACGGATCGAATTCTCCTCCGCTGAAGTAAACATTGGACGGCCGGATCTTCCATCCTCCAAACTCTTGGTTGACCTCATCCGCCCGCGGTGACGGAGGCAACAGTCCTTTCTCCACCGCATCGGGAAACTGTCGGTTACATACTTCTTGCTGGTATTCCACCGACTGGTATCGCGATGCCAGCGAGTGTGGCCCTTCGTTGTTCGCTTGGAAGAATCCCCATTCGCTGCAGTATTGCCAAGTCCAGGTGATGGTCGCGGGATCCCCGTATGGCTTGGAAAAATCACAGTCAATTGGCTGAGAAGCGTTCTGAGGTCCGCAGTTGGTCCCCATATTCAGATTGACCAGCTCGAGGAAGGTGGGCCATGCTGCCCATCGTTCCGCGACATACTGGCCACCATACGTAGGGGCAAGACCATCCGGCCCAGTAGTCCCGTTCGTCTTGGGGTCAACTTCGAGATACTCGCAGAATGCGCCTAGACCTCCAATACCTCCCGCCATACCATAGCTCTGGAAGTAGCTGTAGATGGCGGTTAGCGCTCCAGTGAAATCACCGTTGGAGTTGGCTTCGGCGCCAGGTCCGAAGAAGAGTTGCTTGATTGAGGTAGCTGTATCTTCGTCCGATAGTTGATCGTCGATGTATTCCAGAGCAGCGTGAATATCTGCCGAGCAGTTGGTCCATCCATCGGCAACCATGCCGCGGTAGACCTGGTCATAATACACGCTCATATTGACCCGTGCTTCCACCGGAGCCGATGAGGAATAGGCTGCGAATATGGTCTCTGGGTACTCGTTGCGAGTTAATGCAGCACGGTTCCCAGCGTACGAGCCGCCAACCATGATCCACGGTGTGCCCTGCGGTGTCAGGTCCACGTCCGGATACTTCTCGCGGCTGAAGTTACTCGCAAAGTATGGGAGATCCGCGAGCGCCTGCTTAGTCGTGAGGTATTGGTAGGTCTCGGGTGGAGATTCATAGGATATGGGAGCCGGAGTCGAGTTTCCATAGTATCTGTGCTCCCAAGCGATTCCCATGGCGTTGAACTCTATTAAGAATTCTCTAAAGAAGGAAAGGGTGGAAGTGAGGTAGGCCGAGGCTATCGATGCGCCATCCGACTCCCCTGTATCGTACACGAATATCGGACTGCCTGGCTCATAGAATTCATCGCTGACCCAGAACCGATTTTGATAAGTGCCAGCCGATGCGTTGTCATGGTCAAGAGGAATCTGAGTATCGTGATCAGTGATAGGAACATAGAGCCAGGCTGGTGCTTTTCATACGGTGACATATTCAGTCTCCAACGCAACGGCCATCGCTGAGTGTGAAACGAGAGTATTGAGGTTCTGCTCATTGTGTGTCCTCAGGTCTGGGTCAATACCAAAGTGAGCAAGCGACTGAGTACCCCATCCAAAGGGGGTCTTTTTCTGCCCCGAGCCCATAACGGGCCGCAAGAGCAGGAAAGCCCCGATGGCTGCTATTGTGGTGGCGTATGAAGGCATATGGGCCTTCATGGGACAGTGTATACAAGGGGAGAAGGTTCAGAGCAAAGGAAGAGGGCAGTAACACACAAATTCCTAAAATCCCCTCTTGCCATGATTGAAGGCATTCCTTTTGTGTCTTATGTACAAAACATAACTACAATGGTAGACAGTGAATGAGACGGTTTCGGTCACGAATGTCTGTCATACAGTAAATTCACTCTAGTGGACTTCTGCCTACGGAAACTAATTTCAACCCATGTCAACATGCTCAGCCGAGATATGGTGGGCTGCTGGGCATCGTGTGCGGCCAGAAATCCCTGTTATGTTGGACAAGACCATAACAATCAACAGACGCATCAGGGTTGATGCCTCCGTCGGGCTGTGGCTTCAAAGCGCACGGGCAGCAAAAGCCACATGTCTGTGTCTTGATTAGTGGGTTCCTGAGCAATGGCAATGCGTAGCTTTTGCGGGGTTCCTTCCGCTTGCCGAAGATGCCCTGTCGATCATCTGTGCAGCGCAGGATAGTTGGGAATGCGTCTGCAGGGTCCGGACCCAGCCCCCATTCGGTATTGATGCGTGCGCCATATTTATCGCCACCATTCGCCTTTGCCTCCGCGGTCCTAGGCTGGGCTTCGTTTTATTAAAAGAATCCGATTAACTCTGCAGTAGTTCAATATTTAGGGTTACTGCTCCCAGTTTCTGTCTCCCCTTCGCCACGAGGATTGCGCTGCATACTGAAGCAAGGGGCTGTGAGACCGAGGGGATTTGCCGAAATGAAGCGTAATAGTTGACTGAGACAAATACAGGGGTATGAGTAGGTGTTCTGGATATGAACCTAGATGAAAACAATCTGTGTGCACGGGATTCTCAGTCTCGTCAGTTTTGCTATCTCAGCAGCCTTCGAGTAGCGTCGACGGGAATAATAGAAGACGATTGAAGGGTTAGTCAGGGCCCAGAAACTGGTGGGATATGAACCGAAGATTTGGCCGTAAAGAAACTCCTGAACACTGCAACTGAAAGTTTGGATTGTATGAGCCACCAGCATGCCTCCACCCTCGAACTCGTAGCTATAATCTGCCTTGCAAGGACTCTCATCGTGAGTATAGACACGATCGAATGCGATCAATCGTACTGCAGCTTCATATTAGCAACTGGGGATCAATCGTATACACCCATGCAGCAATTTTGCCGAGATCTAATGGAAATGTAAAGAAGAATGCCGAGAGTGGCCGGAATGATGGTCTAGTTTCGGGCGGCGAGTCTGGCTCGGTTCGGTGTTTGTTTTGCATTTCCTTGCATTCCTCCTTTCTTGCGTTCGGAAATCCTCATGCCGTCGGCATTTCCCGACCCATGCTCTTGTATCTATTTTGACAGGTGGGCCGATTGTCTCCATCAACGAGGATCTCGGATGATCTACTGAAGACTGCAGCTTCAGGGACCGTGGGATCTCTTGTAAGACCTTTGCCGCGATGAGGCTGTGACTAAAGTCATTCATTTCTGTCTCCAGTTTCTCCATTGACTAACTAACTGGGTCCCAAGATCATCACAGCATTTAGCAAAAGTATCATAAGCCCTTGCGTCAGTCCCATCCTTGCAGCTATAAGCCGGTACAGCCCAAATTAAGGTTATATTATCAACGTGTTATGCATCTCATCAAAGTCGTTCATACCCATACTGTATTTCATCGTTGGCAAGGCTATGTGACGGTGCTTTGGTCTACAACAGCTCGAGAAATACAGCTATAGCATCGTCTAGAATAATCCCTGTTCTATCAGAAAGGACCAAGCTGCTTGCCTGGTTGTTTGAACACCATGGCTTGACATCTACCAATATTCCAAACAGACATAACCCACAACCGGATGGATTTCTACACGAAACAGTCGTTACTGGATAAGGACGTTAAGAACACGACAGCATAACGCTACCAGACATCCTGCAAATGTCGCTTAAGAAGATCGGCGTTGCTCGGGACGAGGTACGGTCCACCGGTGCTGTCTCGGACATCATATGGTGCGTTTCAGCATCAGCTTGAGCTCTTGGCAATTAGCGGAGCGAGTACACATCCAAAGGACATAAAGGCCTTTTCCACGTGCGGATGCTTTCCATATTGCCGTCTAGATTTGGCGAAGAATATATTAAAATGAGGAGAAAGCTCACAGAAGGCGAGGGCTTAACATGAAATTGACACTTCTGACTCGTGGATTGCGCTTGTGCTAAACAGTCACACCAGGTGATATCGCGCGGAGCTCCCTCCGTCCGCCAGCCAAGAAACGAGTCCGTCCACCACTGAAGAGTCTGGCCAAGACATAGATGGGGTCCGACGCCCGTCAAAGTGATTATTTGGGTAAATGATCGACACCATCATGAACACTCGCTGTCCCTTCAAGACTCAATCGGAGTCTTGACATGAAGCTTCTCTCTTCGCATAGTATGCCGAAAGAAACCGGGATCACAAGGAAGGATGTTATATTGGTCACCCCGGAATATGCATGGCATTCAAAATAGAAAATTCGTCATCGAAGTCTGATGCTTTGTCTGCCGCAGAAAGAGCCAAGTCAGCCATTGGTGGAAGCTACTCATTGTCCAAGACTTTAGACCAGGGGTTGTGCATGAGGCATCGCTAGCTTGACGGCTCTGGCTCCATCGGTACTCAGGGTTCGGCAGTGCTCCTGCTGGAACCAGTTATTTAAGGTGTAAGCTCGCAACTAACAAGAAATATACTTTGATCTGACATTGTCAAACGCCAAGATGTTGTCCAGAACATCGCTCCTGTCGCTTCTCTCGCTTGCAGCTGGGGTCGTCAATGCAGACTTTGGCATAACAACCAGCGATGATTCCTATGTCATCAACGCCAATTCTCCCAACTCGCTGGTATTTACTGTGGACCGTGGAAGCTGCGATATTACCTCTATTGTGCATTATGGCACAGAGCTACAGTATTCCGGCAAGGGCAGCCATATTGGTTCCGGTCTTGGAACTGCCACAGTGTCTGCTACCAAGAGTGGTAAGTTGAACCTACCCAGGAATAGGAAGTGACAAGCTGATTACGGCAGGCGACTATATCAAGGTGACCTGTGAAACGGACACATTGACCCAGTATATGGTTGTCCATGATGGTGATCCTATCATTCATATGGCCACCTATATTACAGAGGGTAGGTCTTTCGTCGGATTGTCCTTTCTGGTCTCTAACAACCGCCAGAGCCATCTATCGGTGAATTGCGATTCATTGCTCGACTCAACCCGGATGAACTCCCCAACGAGGAGCCGTTCGGCGATGTGTCCAACACTGCTGGTGGGGAGGCCATTGAAGGATCTGACGTGGTATGTCTCTTGAATACTTTCGCAGGCGTTGCTAATTCCACGGCAGTTCCTCGTCGATGGGGAAACTCGTAGCAAGTTCTATTCCAGCCAGCGCTTCATTGACGATCAAAGACACTGTAAGAGATGTTGAACTATCTACACGGCTTTTGCTGACCAGTTAAGGCATTGCGGGCGACGAGCACCGCGTCTGCATGATCCTCAACCAATACGAAACCTCTTCCGGTGGCCCATTCCACAGGTAAGTACAAACCATCTATCGCAAGGACAATTACTCACAGCTTCAGGGACATCAACTCCAACAACGGAGGCGACTACAACTCTCTCTACTGGTACATGGTACGTATCCTACTCCAAACCTGCACCCGCAGCTACTGACAAAACAGAACTCGGGTCATGTCCAAACCGAGTCCTACCGCATGGGTCTTCACGGACCGTACTCGATGTACTTCAGCCGCAGCGGCACCCCCAGCACCGACATCGACACGTCCTTCTTCGCAGACCTCGACATCGAAGGCTACGTCGCCGAAGCAGACAGGGGAACCGTATCGGGAACCGCGTCAGGCGCTGACTCGAGCTTCGACTGGGTCGTTCACTGGTATGTCCCCTCACCCACCCGACCAACCGACCCAGCTAACCGGACAGGTACAACGACGACGCCCAATACTGGACCTACACATCCTCCTCCGGCAGCTTCACCTCGCCCGCCATGAAGCCCGGAACATACACCATGGTCTACTACCAAGGCGAGTACGTCGTCGCCACCAGCGAAGTGACGGTCAGCGCCGGCTCGACCACAACCAAGAACATATCCGGCTCCGTCAAAACAGGAACGACCATCTTCAAGATCGGCGATTGGGACGGACAGTAAGTCACCCCCCAATCTAACCACCCGCATCACATACACATCTAATATACTAATTAATGAAACAGACCAACCGGCTTCCGCAACGCAGAAAACCAACTCCGCATGCACCCCTCCGACTCCAGAATGTCCGACTGGGGTCCCCTAACCTACACCGTCGGCAGCTCCTCGCTAACTGACTTCCCCATGGCCGTCTTCAAGTCCGTCAACAATCCAGTAACTATCAAATTCACCGCGACATCCGACCAAACCGGTGCAGCGACGCTGCGTATCGGAACTACGCTGTCGTTCGCGGGTGGACGTCCTCAAGCGACGGTAATTACCTACCTACCTCACTCCGTCACTCCCCCTTTCTCTGCGATAAGCATGAACTAAAGGAATAAAAATAGATAAACGACTACGAAGGCTCAGCGCCATCCGCACCGACGAACCTGAACTCCCGTGGCGTGACTCGTGGCGCGTATAGAGGCTACGGCGAGGTGTATGATGTTTCGGTTCCGGAGGGGACGATTGTCGAGGGGGAGAATACGGTATGCTTACTACTACCTTACCCTACCTACTTACTACTTAGATATATGTTGTGAGTGAAGTTGTGGCGTGATGTGCTGATGAGTGTAGATCACGATTAGTGTTATCTCGGGGAGTTCGGGGGATGAGTTTTTGAGCCCGAATTTTGTAAGTTTTTCCTTAATGTGAGATGACAAGATGATGGGTTTGACTGATGAGTGTTTTACTAGATCTTTGATTGTGTGGAGCTGTTTCAGTGAGGATGGTATCTAGTATGAGTATAGGTTGATGCAGTGTTGATAGTGGCTCTATATCGGGATATTTGTGGACCATTGATTATATATTCTAGTCTAACCAACAAAATAACATACCCACACCTTCATCTATAATATAGCCATGTATTAACGCCAATCCAAGATCCATTACACTGATCATCTACCACCCCCCAACCTCCTAACAACCGCCCACCCAACAACACCAACCCCAACCGCCCCAATCACCCACCTCATCCACCCCCCACCCTCCCTCCTATCCTCTCCCTCTTCCCGAACCCGATGCACCAGTTTCCCTCCAACCCACACCATCCTCACATTCCGACTATCCCCATTCCACACCCACTTATGAACCTTCTCCTCCCACTCCTGCCCCTCATCAAACACATCCACCGCAGTCTCCACCCCACCCGTCTTCCCCCACCTCCCCGCAGGATTAAACTTCCCCAGCTTCACCATCTGCGCATCCCATACCATCCCCTGATCAAAACCGCCGATTTGGTCCGCCATGTCGACCACCGCTGCGCCTCCGCGTGTGGCGAGGTAGAGTGCTTCTTCAATGGAGAGGACCTCTCTCGGTACTCCGTTATTATCCTTATTTCGTCCTTCAGAAGTTCCAGACATATGAGGAAGTAATCTCGATACTAAGCACGCCTGGCGAACTGTTTCCAGTATGCTGGGACTGTATCCACCGCTTACGTCTGTCCCTAGTCCCACCGTGATGCCGGAGTCGATGGCCTTGCGGACTTCGCAGATTCCCGAGCCGAGGGCGGAGTTGGACGCCGGGCAGTGGGAGAGCTTCGCCTTGTTATCAGCGATCATGGTGCGCTCGTCATCAGAGAGATGTACACAGTGCGCGAGGATCGTCCGTGGAGTCAGCAATTTGAAGTAGTTATACACGGAGGTGTAATCCCTTGCTTCTGGATAGAGATCGTGCACGAGTTTCAACTCATCCAGGTTCTCAGCCAGATGCGTTTGGATGTGTAGCGGGGGCGAGTAGCTCGCCGCGAGCTTGGATAACTTCCCCAGCGAGCGCGGGGTACATGAGGGGGCGAAGCGCGGGGTCACGATGGGTTTGATGAGGGCGCCCTCAGGGTCAATGGTGTGAATGTGGTCGATACTGGCTTGGGTCTTGTCGATGGCGATGTCGGGGGACTCGTCGCGAAGGTACTCGGGGCATTGCTCGGGACGGTCCATGCAGACGCGGCCGATGAGGGCGCGTTGGCCGCGGGCGAGGCAGAGGGAGGCGAGGAGGTTGGTGGCGGGGACGTGGATGGTAGCGAAGTAGGAGGCGCAGGTGGTGCCATTTGCGAGGGTGCGAGCGATGACTTGGTTGTAGACGCGGTAGGCGTTGGGAGGAGGGATGGAGGGGAATTTGGTGCTGCCGAAGGAGGATTCGATGGGGAAGGTGTAGTTTAGGAGCCAGTGGAGGAGGCCGGCGTCACCGAAGAGGCCGGCGTTGGGGTATTGGGGGGCGTGGATGTGTGTATCTATGATTACCATCTGTTAGCATTGTTGGCAGCTTGGTGTATGCAAGGGAGTTGGGATGTGTAGGGTAGTGGCCTACCAATGAACCCAGGGAAGAAGAACTCATTCTCCTCTTCACGCGCAACCACCAATGTCACTTTCACCCCGTGCTTGCCTTTATGGCCATTCTTGTCGTCCACGACAGTCCACCCCTTGTGACGGAGGAATCTCTTCAAGTCCCTGTCATTGGCAATGGACCAGTCGAATCCCTCGATTGTGCCGTCGGCAGTAGACACCCAGAGCGCGCCGCGGGTGATGGCGAGCTTGTGGCCCTCGTCGGATTTGAAGCGGGGGAGTTGGATGAAGGTTCCCACGAAGAGGGTATATTCGGGGGACATATTTGCTGTTCTACTGCAGTAGATGCAGAGAAGAGTGTTGTATGTAAGTAGGTTCGTGGCTGACAGCTGCTAGCTAGGAGCTTGTGTGGGGAATGTGCCAATCTGCGTCGCGGGTAGTGGAAAGCTGACGCGGGGTGATGCAGGTGCTGCACGCACTTCAGCTCAAATAAGAGTGCTGAATTGGAACCAATCAGCTATGTGACGGCGATTTAGAAGTCCAGCGGTCCAAAACTCCGGAAGAGAAACTCGACGAAATGCAACAGCACAGCAGATGTCTTATAGTGAGGCCCGTCGCGTCCGGTTCCGGGGCTGCTCGGCCGGCTCCGATCCTGAAAACGGCTAGTGTGACGATAAGATACGGATTGCCTATCTGGGATGGATATCTAGTGTTTGGCTTGTTTGCAGTGAGATTGATTGATTAATTGATGGAACATTCATTTTTTATTAATATTTCTAAAACGCCATCCTTGTCTATCATGACAATGTTGAATCGCTGGTCATGCAAGTCGTATCAATATGCAATGCCCAATCCAGAATGTTGAAAATATGGTATCAAACGCAATCGTACACATGGGTATCATAGACTATCTACTCGCTATCCTCCACCGGTCCGCAGGTACAGAAGAGGTTCTGGTCACCGTAGGCTGCAACTTATTAGCAAAGATCTTCAGGAAAACAGTGGGATAGGTACTTACCATCATCTACACGCGTCACCGAAGGCCAGAACTTCTTCTCCACCAAGTACGGCAACGGGTACGCCGCCGTCTCGCGGGTGTACGGCCGGTTCCACTCGCTGGACAACAGGTCACGCTGGGTGTGCGGTGCCATCTTCAGCACGTTGCCCTCCTGGGGCTGGGCGCCGCTCTCAACGGCGGCGATCTCCTCCCGGATGGAGATGAGGGCATCGCAGAACCGGTCAAGCTCCGCCTTGTTCTCCGACTCGGTGGGCTCGATCATCAGCGTGTTGGCCACGGGCCACGACATGGTCGGGGCGTGGAAGCCGTAGTCCTGCAGACGCTTGGCGATATCGATAGCCTCGACACCACAGGTGTCCTTGAACTTGCGCACATCGAGGATGAACTCGTGGGCACAGCGGCCGTTCTCGTTGGTGTATAGGATAGGGTAGTGGTCCTTGAGACGGGCCAAGATGTAGTTGGCGTTCAGTAGCGTGATCTTTGTTGCGTGTGTAAGACCCTTAGATCCCATCATGTTGATGTAGTTGAAGGTGATGGGCAGGATGCTAGCGCTACCCCAGGGAGCAGCGCTAATCGGGGGCGAGGACGACTCGCTCCGCTTGGACTGAAGGTACTCGCTGCCCGGGTGAGAGGGAAGGTAGGGCCGCAGGTGCTCGGCCACACCAATGGGACCGACACCAGGACCACCGCCACCGTGGGGGATACAGAAGGTCTTGTGCAGGTTCAAGTGGCACACATCGGCACCAATCTCACCGGGAGAGCACAGACCGATCTGGGCGTTCATGTTGGCACCGTCCATGTAGACCTGGCCGCCATGCTGGTGGACAATCTCACAGGCCTGCTTGATGCCGGGCTCATACACACCAAAGGTGCTGGGGTAGGTGATCATCACGGCAGCCAGCTCGTCCTTGTGCTTCTCACACTTGGCCTTCAAGTCTTCCAGGTCCAGGTTGCCGGTCTTGGTGTCGCACTTGATCGTCACCACGCGCATACCAGCCATGGCAGCACTGGCAGGGTTGGTACCGTGAGCCGAGACGGGGATCAAGCAAATGTTGCGCTTGTCGCCTTCGTGGGCCTCCTGGTACTTCTTGATAACACGCAGACCAGCGAACTCACCCTGCGCACCAGAGTTGGGCTGCACGGTAACTTCGGCCATGCCGGTGATGTCTGCGAGCTGCTGCTCGAGGTCATCGATCATCTGGGTGTATCCCTTGGCCACATCAGCCGGCAGGAACGGGTGCATCTGAGAGAACTCAGGCCACGAGACTGGGATCATCTCCGTGGTTGCGTTGAGCTTCATGGTGCAGGATCCAAGAGGGATCATGGAGTGGGCCAGGGACAGATCCTTGGACTCGAGGTGACGGATATAACGCAGCATTTCCGTTTCGGAGTGGTGGGTGTTGAACACGGGGTGGGTCAGGTAGGCAGAGGTACGCTCCAGGCTGGCGGGAACAGGAGCAACAGCCAGATCCTCTTCCAAGCCAACCTCGGCCTTGGAGGCGTGGGCGGCAAACACCTTGAGGATAGACTTCACCTCCTCACGGCCGACAGTTTCGTCCAGAGAGATTCCGACCTTGGTGTCGCTCAGGCGGCGGAGGAACATGGACTGCTCACGAGCAGCCGCAATGATGGCATCAGTTTCTTGGGCACCGGACAGCTCGACAACAACCGTGTCGAAGAGAGCGCCACCATCAGCGCTGTTCGACTTGATCGGAACATTGTAACCCAAGCCGGCGAGCTTCGCCTGCAGTGTAGTGGTCATCGACATGATGCGCTGGGCGATAGCCTTCAAGCCAGCAGGTCCGTGGTAGACAGCATACATGGCGGTCATGTTGGCGAGGAGGGCCTGGGCTGTGCAAATGTTGCTAGTGGCCTTCTCACGGCGGATGTGCTGCTCACGGGTCTGCAGGGCCAATCTCAGGGCACGGTTGCCCAGACGGTCCTTGGAGACACCCACAACACGGCCGGGAACCTTACGCTTGTACTTGTCCGCGCAGGCAAAGAAGGCGGCGTGAGGACCACCGTATCCCATGGGGACACCGAGTCTCTGGGCGCTTCCAAACGCAATGTCGGCACCGAACTCGCCAGGTGCCTTGAGCAGAGTCAAAGCCAGAAGGTCGGTAGCAACACTGAAGGTACCGCCGCTGCCGTGGATCGTGTCACTCAGAGACTGGAAGTCGTAGATACCACCCTCGGTGTCGGGGTACTGAGCCAAAACACCAATCAATTTGTCACCCTGCTCCTTGACCAGCTTAAAGTCATCCGCCAGAATGTCGCCGACCACCAGGTTGATACCGAAGCCCTCTGCGCGGGAGCGCATTACCGCAATGGTCTGAGGGTGGCAGAGGTGAGACACCACGTAGGCCTTGCCGGCCTTCTTCTGCTTCGACATGGGCAGGGTGGCCAAGGACATGGTCATGGCCTCAGCGGCCGCAGTACCTTCATCCAAAACCGAGGCATTGGCGAAGGGCAGACCGGTGAGATCGGCAGTCAGCGTCTGGAAGTTCAGAAGGGACTCCA